ATGAAGTTTGTTACACTGTGAAAAGTTCAACAGTCGCTGACAATCAATGAATAGCACCAACATATACAAAACACACAAAATATCAAATTTGTTTTCTCATTGATCTTATTCTTCTGAAAAATCTACAACTCCACCCTAAATCCCACTATCACTGCAGCAAGAGCGAACCCAGTAAGAGAATATAATTTTTTTCTTTCGTATTTTTTAAAAAGATTTGTATCCCTTGAAAAAAAAGTTATTGGATGAAAGGTGAAAAATCATAAATGTTTTCTTGAGAATATATTTGTTTACGGTTGTATTCCGAATAGATATTCTTTGATACATTTTTGCCTTCGGCAGTTCGTAAAATTTTCTGAGACAGATTTCTTACATTTTTTTTTCATGAATGTTTCAGTGAGTAGAATGTGAGAGCGATCTATTGATTCAATTTTCGCAGCCATTTTCTACAAGAACATGTAGTTTTCGCAACTTATCTATAGGGGTAACCTATCTGCCCAATTCAAAGAGATTTAAGTCCGATCTCCATATTCGCGATAGTGCACAACTCTTGATTGGGATGGATATACAGCAGCGAATGCAGTATATACCCTATTTTGGGACGCAAACATGTCATGTGTTGTTTTTCCAAAACAATGCGTAACTCATCCGGAGCATTTGCGGGACTTTATAGCTCAAAGAGAAAACTTGTTCTTCATCAAATACACAAACAAGGAATGTCACTGTTGCGTGCTATGAGACGCTAGTAATTTTCCTCAACGAATAATATAAAGGTTCATTTCGTGGAAGAAATCGAAATGAGAAAAAAAGTTTCATCAGAAATCATGATAGATAGTTAGACAATCCTACAAGAATAGCTTACAAAGATAAGTAACGAAATTTCCTGTCTTCATATACTTGTATGTGTTTAAGATCTTAAGCAGCATTACTAGAGTTTCTGGTTGAATCTCGTGCAGGCTGCAGCTCGTCCGTTCTCACATCGATTCTTCCAAGATTTCCGCCGAAAACGTCGGCCGTGCTGGATGCCATCGCAGCCAATGAGTGAATGGTAAGATTGCTCGCCCATTCCGACTAAAATATGCTTACTCTGTTTAACTGAAGAGTAAAATAAGCTCTCTCAACTCGGATTTTGTTGGTTGACGTTTAAAGAGGACTCTTTACAGAGATAAAATCCGATGGGTTGCAGAAAATATTAAGGAAGAAACTTCTGAGGTTTGATTTTTGTTGTAAACTGGTTCTTTTGCATATTTACACCATCGCTAATGTGCATAGTAGACATTCCCTGCTAGTACATACTTTGAAAGAGATGCGCAAAACTCTATGTTGAGATAATAGATGGAACTTTTTTTATGGTTGGTATTGTCAGTTGTTTTCATAAGCTCCAGCGAATACCAACTGTTTCACTAGAAGGAGTATGAGGGGTTTCCTCTAGCAGTCTCGCGACAACTTAGCTCATGATAAAATAAAAATGACGAACTCTCAACAAAGAGCCCTTTCCAACAGGCGCTCTAATGCTTTTGGCGTAAGTCTCTTTCCTTTCGACGGAACTTTTATGTTTCAAAAATCATTGTTACTTACTTCTTGCGTATCCAAATAGTCTCTATTGCTTGTGCATGTTGCGAGTTGTGCAGTTGTTATCTGAAAATGCGTTTTAAAGGGCAGCTTTGCAATTATCAAATTGTCCCGCACCGATGAGTCCGAAGAATGCGCGGTATTCAAGTAGCGGTTTACTTCTGACTCCACTATAGCGAAATATCCTAAAAGAGGACAACTAAATGAAATAAAATCCAATGTGAATAACAAACCATGGATTCCATTCTCCAAGTATAAGTACGTCATTCGATTTACGACTTTGAGAATTGGCAAACAAAAGAAGTATACGAGGCCTACAATTGGGTCGAACTGAAATGATAAATTTCAGTAAGAAAAAACTTCCAAGGATTACTAAGCCTTAGAGTCTCTGTATTATTATTACATGTTAATTAGACTTTCTTCAGAAAAAAAATTTGAGCTTAAATGCCTATCAAAAATATCATACGCTTCATCTAAAAAGAAATCCATTCTCAAGAAGTGCTTTTTAGTTTTTTATACTTGAACACTAAATAAGATGAACCTACAGTGACATTAATAGGCATGATGTCACCAAAACCAGCGGTAGTGTATGTTTGAACCGAAAAGTAGAAGCACTCCCACCACGACAAACCAGAATTTGGTCCTGTTAGGCTGTCGTAGTAGTAAAGGAAGACTGTAGTCAAACCAAG